CACAGCTATGTTAGCATAACATTAGCACAGTGAAGCTGGAGGATGAACGCCAACATTTTTTCCACTCGATAAAAGTTAACGTGAGGGATTCTGGTGGTCAGGGACAAATGCAATCGCATAGCAGGATGCTATACACGGGCCAAACTTCCGTCAGGAGAACAACTGAGATCATTCATCCACAATACGAGGTTAGTTATTAATATACTGCAACAACATGGGAACAGAGCAGCTGCAGAGAATTCAACATTAATGAATCAATGTTACGGAAGTGGAGGAAGCGCAGTTTACTCTTTACTATGACTGTCGCCATAATTTGTAGATGATAATGGTTGTAGCCGCTGTGATGCTTTCGACCAAAACAGGCGCAGCTTGATGACATCATCAACATGCGCTATCGCGATAGAGCGGTATAGTGAAAATCTCTATCGTTGGCCAAATTTATATCGTTTCTATCGCCCACCCCTAGTTCAGAGGAGGCGGAGGGCAGGTAACAAAAACAGGAACAGAGCCGAAACAAAGCAGCTGAGAGCAGGATGGGGATGTTTGTAAGATGAAACAGGAAGCTGAGAAGGAAGCTGAGGAGAATTAATGTCTGTTTGTCCTTCATAACCACGGTGGGAGGAAGCAGAGTCAGAGCATTTATAATGCAACTACCTGACCAATAATATGGCTGCTGTGAGGTTACCGTACCAACAGACTGTCCAGTGAAATTATAGCATTGTGATTGGATGTCACAGATTAGCACAGTCTGCTGGCTCCACAAACAAACATGGCAGTTAAACATGAAGCTTTAAAACCAGCTGATTGGCTGACGGGGAATGTGGCATTTTTCATTTATAGTTTATGCATCTACACGAGGAATATTCAGACCGGATTTTCCATAAATGTGTTCACAGTGTTTGTAATATTTTACTGCTTTATGATGACTGGTGTGATGAAGCCCATCAGCCAGCGTGGCTGTTTTTACTGATGAAGCTGAGCAGAAACTTTCAGCGTGACCACGGTCAAGTCACAGACTGTGGAAAAATTCCTCACATTAGTCCCACCTGTAGGATGGAGCCCTTACACATCTTACCCAGGTGTCACCTATGACCCTGAAAAAGCCTAACATCTGTGCAGCAGACTACCAGAAGCTGACCAATCAGAAAGAAGCAGGTGTTTGGGTGGGCGGTGCATAAAGAGACAGGAACACGTCCACAACAAAGACGTCTGCAGTGTGACAGAGAGCCTCTCTGATTGGTGGAGCTCTGTGGATTCAGCAAGCAGCTGTTTACCCTTGATGCGAGCTACTTCCTGTGCAGCGGACAGCCGGCCGCGACCCCAGCTTCTCCATCTCCCCGATGAACTCAACGCTCTCCTTCTCTTCCTCTGGGAAGTAACTCCGACGGGACAGCTCCTCCACCTGTGCTCAAGT